AATAATTCTAGAAACATTTGAGTTGCTTCTTCCTTCCCATGTGTTACCACATTATCTTGTACCGTTTCCTCTGATAATTTTTTACGTTTTATACGAACATTCGTGAGGCCTAAAGCAATATTTTCTCTATTAATATTTCCAGATGAAAGTTGTAATTTTGATTGCTTTAGGTCTTGTGTCATATTTGGGTGAGTCTTCAAATCTAATTTATTAAAAAGTCTCTTTACTTGTTGTTGATGGATTATAATAAAGTAAATTCATTCTTTAACGAATTTATATAATAATGGATATTCGTAAATTTTAAAATTTGAAGTTAAACAAAATTTTTGAAATTCATCTTTAAATTCTAAAGAATCTAATAATTCTTCCTGAAGGCCCAAAGTATTATTAGTTATCTCAAGATCATCACATAATCGTTGTACTAAATTTATTTCATTTTCTGTTGGTTCTAGAAGCCATTGCTGAAAAACAACATAGTAGAATGCTCGCACGAATTCGTGACTAGAATTTCCACCCAAGCGACAGATTGATAAGGGTAAATGCACCCATGGGGACATCCATTTTAAAAAACTTTCATATACTTTATTCATTCCTCATTCCAAAGTATCAAAGAGCTCACTGAAATCTTCATTATTTAGTGATTCGAGTGCTATTAGCAGTTCTTGTCCAAAGAATGTGTCAAAGTTTTCTTTGAGTTTTTCTAAAAACTTTATCCACTCATTCATCTTATCAGGCATTTCGTGAGCACGTCGCCCAGGTGGAAGTTGAACCAAATGGTCTTTTACTTGAATATGAGGTATAGGTTCTTTTCCAACCATAAACTGCATCAATGGTTCATAAAAGTGTTTACCGAATGTAACTAAACACTGAACTTGGATATTCAGTTTTTTGTTTAAAAGCCAATCCCGAAATAAACGCCTAGAAAAAAGTAAGTGTAAAAAAATTTATTAGCAAATGTATTTAAAATAAAAGATAGCATACGCTTATTTTCTCAAAATATTTTTCCGACAGAAATTTACTTGACATCACACTATGATGTCGAGAAAATAGCTTTTGAGGAAATAAGATATAACTTTAAAATAAGCATTCAAGTTATGAATATTAATTACCAATCTGAAAGATAAGCAGTAGGTGTATATTGATTATTCTCAAGCTCTTGAATAAACCAATTTGCAAATTCGATATGCGCCTCACGTCAGTTTAGATATTGTTTTGCAGCAAGTAATTTGTATCTCCAATGACCTCGAATTGGCAATTGGTATTGAGAAAAATAAAATCCTAATAACCTATTATATAATTTTTGAATCCAATCAGATTTCATATTTAAAGGACTTCCTCTATTACTTGAATTATAACTGTTGTGAAGATACCAAGCTAAGTATAGAAGGTTATATGGTTGTGGTGTTTATGAAAATCTAATCGAAGAGGGTAACTTGCTGAATGCCTCTTCAAAATTTGAAAAAACAATATGCATAATATGCATTCCACAGCCGATTCTAACTGTATCTACATTCACATTTTTATTAAATTGGACAATTGCACCTTTTTTATTACCAGACATATAGGCCGTATTATCTGTTATCCACGTTAAACATTTTTTTGAATCAAGCCCGTGGGCAATAATTGCTTTAAGAGTGCTATTAGCTACTGATTGTTCTGTGCAATTACTTAAATCCTCAAGGTTCGTTACAAAAAATGATGGCATATTTTTTTCATGATCTCAGAACATAATACATACTACAAAATATTTACTTTCTCCACGGGTTGACTCATCTACAAGGATTCCATATCGTGAACATTGTGTAGCCTTATATGTTTCAACTTTAGTTTCAATTTGTGAAACTTCTTTATGCCAGTTACTTAAGGTTGTTACGAATAACCATCTTTGCGGGGGCTCTCCGATTAAGAATTCATAGACTAATCGCAATGATTCAGCGGTTGCAGTTAAAGAGGTTTGCCCAATTTGTAAAATTTTAGTTGAAAGCCAAACTATATTAGGAGAATATTCTCTATTATTTGTTTTAAATAACATGCCGATTTGATGCTTAAATTCATCAGGAGATATCTGCTTCGATTTTCGTATTAATGATCAGATAGTTGAAATTCGATTTTTAATTTTGTTTTGAAGATGTCAATTTGAACTGCCTGGTAGAGTAAAAATTTATTGTTGATAATTACTATACGAATCACGTAGTCTAACAAGATTTTATCAAACTTATGCAAATGACAAATATGAATAACCTTACCTAAAGACTGGGTTTTGCTTATTAGATTTTGATTACTTTTAAATAGTCTTTTGTTTAATGACTTTAATTTAGTATTCTCAACTTTTAATTTTTTAGATTGACCCTTTTGAGGATCTGTAATAAAGTCGAGTGCTTGTTTTTGCATATAAGATGAAATAACTTCATTAGTATATTTCCCTTTTGGATTCTGCATTGAGGTAAAGAGTTTTAATATATTTGTTTTCTGTGATCTAGTCATTTCACGAATTGATTGAAAAATCTCTTCATCTTTTGTACAGTTTACTACATTAGTAAGAGTTTTATGTACTTGTGAATAAGATCAGAATCAATTTGGGATATGATTTTATGAATTTGTTGAACTTCATCTCGGTAAGAGCGCATATATGCCATATTTAATGACAAAAAAAAAAGATTGATTTATTAATTTTATGATCTTGTGATTTTTAAAAAATAGCATGCTTTTATTAATTTTTTAAACAATCTCAAATTTAAAGATAAATCCCAATTTCAAAATAATACCATTACTTTTTTTTTTTTTTTAATATTAATGGTGAGGCCATGCCTCTAACTTTATTGAATATTTAATTGAAATTATAACATAAAGCATTAA